ATGAATAGAGATTCATAAACGAATTACTAAACTTGAAATGGAATCATAGTTATTAAATCAATTTGGGTTTCGACAAAATCATACCCAAAGATTTAATCGGGAAATTGGATCTCGAAAGGATTTTACATGTATGGACTTGTAATCGAAATAGGTTTACTCGCTAATCACTTAATACTAGATTCATACTGCTTGCTAGATGTTCCCATGATATGTGGGTTCTTGAATTAAAGAGTTAATTCAAGAGTAAGAGTTAATATGAATAACTCAAATTACAAAGAGTTGTAAACCCACTACTAGTATTAATTGTGAACCTAAAAGGTCACACCAATTTTTGAATGAAGGTAAAATTTAAATAGTATTTCTAAAGAGTTAGAATTAATTGACAAATCTAATTTGATTAGATATCAATTAAAGGAATATATTAAATTAATCAATTAGATTGATTAATTGAATTTTGGATATTAATTTAGTAATTAATAGACTTATTAATTAATAGTTGGAATTTAAAATTAGATTTTAAATTTCAAATCCAAATAATAATAAGATTATTAAATAAGGAAATGGAAGAATAGATTAAAATAATAAAGTCTTGAAAAAATATTTTCAAGAAATATTATTTTATTATTTATCTTTAATATGATTTTATTAAATAATAATAAGAATAAATTAATTATGGTGGTTTGGAGTTGTTAACCAATCCACATAATTAATCTTATTTTTATTAGCACAATATTGGGTAGTAATAGTCTTCTTCAAGATTTAATATTTTATGAAAATATTCTTGAAGACTTTTTATATTTTATGAAAACATTCTACCTAATATTATTATTTTACACTAAAATGTTTAGTATAAATATGGACATATTTGATGTTCAATTTTGCTAAGTTTTTGGCTAAAATTCTTCCAAGAGAAAAACATTCAAAGAGTTGAGTGATAAAACAAGAAAGAGTTCTTGTAAAATTTCCTTATAAATATATATTATACTTCTTGAAAAACCGAGTAGTTTCTACTAGCGAAGAAACTATAGTCGGAACCAAAGTTCAAAAGGTGGATACGATTAGAGGGAAGATATTTGGATTCCTAAAGTGAGTAACCACAAAAAGTGATCGTTACCAAACCGGGAATTGATTTCCTCATACATCGTCGGTTTTGAAGGAGTTCAAGAACAAAGGTAATTTTTATAAATTACATATCAAATCAAAATTAGTAAAAGTTACTAGATTTTAAATGATGCTTATTCGTTATCTCGTTATACTTATGTACGGAATAAGTATTTATAAGATAAATACTTATAAAATTTTAAATTCCGCTGTAAGCTCTGTTCCGTACAGTATATCGAACCCAACAGTGGTATCAGAGCCACGTTACAATTTGCATCTTTAAAATCAGATTTTGATTTGAAAAATTTGTTAAAAACACGAACTGGAATAAAAATCGAATAGTGTATTCGAAAACACGAGTCATGAAGGATGACACGACTCGTGTGACCGGTCGTGTGGGGTCACACGACCCGTGTGAAAACGTCACACTAGTCGTGTGACTGGTCGTGTCACCTCACACGAGTCGTGTGATGTGTGACACGAGTCGTGTGACATAAAATTTTTCCAAATTTTTCAATGTCACTCTCGCATTTTTCACACGAGTCGTGTGACTAGTCACACGAGTCGTGTGACTTGTCACACGAGTCGTGTGACTGATCAGTGATCAGAAAAGAGTTGTTTTGACTTAATATGAGTCATTACTACATCAACATATTAAATTAGTGAATTTATATGGTTGATTTAGGGATGATCATGAGCCTTTTATTCATAATGATGAATGATTGCATTTTTATTTAATGCGATTAAACGAATGTAATTTATCGAGACCTGCGAGTCTCTTGATTTATTATTTGTAAAATTTTAAATTTTTGTATCGTTAAAAGATAAGATCAAGGTGGAGACCGTTCGATGCAAAAAGGCCCACGCATGTGTGGGTAATTTTACAAGTTGTAAATTTTGAAGGCCTGTGCATGTACAGGTAGATAAAAAAATTGTAATAGAAGTAGTTCTATTTATTTTATCACGTACATAGGTATAGACCCATTTTGGCTCGAATGGGTCGTATAGGCAAGGTTATGATCATCCCACCGTATGCATGCATTAGATGTATATTATGCTTGTGATTCATGCGATGAATAATGCGGTAAATAAACACACGTAAAGATGGTAATTGATGAGATCTAAGGAACCCTAAAGAATTAATTTGATTAATTCTATATCAAATCAATAATGGATAAAAATAAGTTGGAACTTATTAATCCAAGCCTTCCATCAAAAGTAGACGACATGATATGCTACGATGCTTTATCACCGACCATGAGTCGTGGGGTGGTTTGTGTCAAAAGCTGTGATACCTACTAAGTATAGTGATACTCGTGAGGTGGATTCCTCTTTATGTTGACCATGAGTCGTGGGACATTCTGATGGGCCACTATCATGAATGTTTGATGGGTTTTGATTTGACACTTAGTAATATATACGGTCATAAAATTGAGGTATATAAGGAAAAGTGAGGCAAAACATCTTGAAGGTTGTATAGTGATACAATTGTCAAAAGTTGACTACCGATATAAATGTTTCATGCGTACTCATAAAATTGGGATATGGAATATTTTTATTGGACTTCAAGCCCACTATGAAAATTAGATTTT